CCCTACAGAGCCGTGACATCCAGGGCTTCTTCAGGCCCTCTGAAAAGTACATGCTGCAAGTAGCAGAACGGAATAAACTCAATGTGTCAAGTTTTTTTTCTTAAGAGTCTCCAGGAACTACATCCACATTGTGGCTATATTTCATGCAAATGCTGCAATGTTTTCCATGGGCACATCTATTCATGCACAAGGAACTTGGCCACTGAGACTCTGCAGCAGAGGACATCAAAGCTTATTGCAAACACTACCCAGGGTTAGATCTGGAGTTCTTACTTCCTTGAAGAATTCCCAGCTACTGAGGATGTCTTGGCAGATGTCATGCTTGTGTGGCTCTTTTGGGAGCCTGCTGGCTGTGACGGTGGTTTCTTTTTGAGCACGGGGGTTTTGTTCTTGCTTTTGAATACCTTATTGGGGTCCAGCTTGTTAATAAAGGAATCAGCTTCTTCAGACAGGAGCGCTGTGTTGATTGTTATAGGTTTGTACATGTTAAACCATTGCTGAAATGCAGGATGGTGAGGAAGGAAGAGGTTAAATTCAAACTGCAAGTAGACAATTTCATCTTGCTCCCCCTCTTCCCTGAGACATGATTTTAATCCCACACCACTTAGCAGTTTGCAGTTTACAGGACTTAGAGGAGTACTTGTGATAAGGATACACATGGCATGGCTACCACTAGTCCTGGAACTGCATTCCAAACAGGAAGGAGAAGAACCAGACACAAACCTAACACTACCTTTCCTGCCCTGTAACTCCTTTGAGGAGCAACTCCTGATTTAAACCACAGGAGGAAAAGTGAAGGGAGGGGATGGAACTAAACGACATTTATTTAGACTCAGAGAAGCAGAAAAGATTAAAGAACCTTGGAATTTAATCGTGCTTATAAAACAGAAACAAACTAGTGAAACTTCTCAAAATGTAGTCTTCCTCTCTTTCTTCACACATACAATAACGTGTGAGTTTTTAAACTATTTACACAAAGGATTTTGTGTTTGTTTCTCTTATTCTCTTTCTACTTCTGACTTTCTATCTAGAAGTAACTACAATAATTTGGGTTTTCTGGCTCCCAGAGGCCACCACACTGTTATGCCCTGCAGTTCTCAACTCTTAAGTGTTTTTCCTATCACTTTTCCATTGACAAAGTGTCAGGAAATAAAACCATAGGAGTTATGGTATTGCAAATCACAGTGAAATCATCAGCAAAATATTGGACAAGATAAATAGAAGACCATTACCAAAATATACATTGCAATCTACTCATGTACTGCTTCAGGGAAAACGGCTTTAACAAAGCCCCTTGAAAACCTTTAAAAATGATAATGGTTAACACGGTAGGAGGATTTTAACTAACAGGGGCTGCAAATGATTAGGGAATATACAAATGATTTCACTTGAGATTTGTGAATATACTGAACATAATAAAATATTTACAGCAGGAAAGTTGCAGAAAGGCAGAGCACAGGCATAGACTACAGTACCATGTACACAGTATTGACTGATGAAGTACAGCACAGTGTAACAGAGAAGACACCAGAAATACAAAGAACCAAATTCTATAGTCACTAATTGATGGAAAGTTGGCAGTGATTTTATTGACTACTTCTGATGTATGCAGAGGGCCAAGGAATGCTGTGCTGGTCACACTGCTGTCATGTCTGACTCACTGACACCCAACAGGCCTTGCCAATACACACAGATGTTGTGCTGGCTTATGCCCTGTGTTTCAGCTCCACTCCCTTACCTCTGACAGAATGGAAGCAAGCTTACGGCTGAAGGTCCAGTCAAACACAGAGAAATATCAGAAGTCTCTAAGAGTAGGATTTTGGCATAGCAGAATAGCAATTTTAAT